GGAGAAGGAGGGGAGGGATGACAATAAATTCTCGGGCTCACCACTTGCGCAACGAGCCCCGATCGAAAGGCCTTGCCTAACGAGGCCACCTGTACTTTCGGGAATCTTGGGGTGAAGCTGGAGGGGAATGAAGGGTGGAGAAAATGGTGCCAGGTTCAGAAGTTAGAGCGCTGGAATGATGAAAGCTATAATTATCGGAAAACAGACCTTAAACCAGCTGTAAAGTCGTGAATTTGCCATACCAGGAAATGTGGCTTTCAGAAAATTCAGCGGCGCAAAAACTGGAGAACCGGAAGTGTGTTGTTAGTGCCGAACGAAGCCAAAATTCAAGTTTTCATGAATTTCGCATAATAATTCAGGTGGCTAAAATATTTGACTTGTCAGGCCCTTTGAAGCTTCTAATAACTGCAAATTATTGTAGAAGAGTCCGATTTTGACAGGTTTGTTTATTAAAGGCCGTGCGAAGTCAACCCGCAAAGATTTATTCAGGAAATCGATACAATTTACGTAAATATCTTTACTTACTCGATATTCTTTAAGGAAATTAAGTTCTTGACTCCATAAAATGAACAATATTTCAGTGTAAAAACAACGGCTTTGATTTTTTATTTTTTTAGTTAACAAAATTATTATAATAATATATTTAGTAATTCCCCTACTGACATTCTGGCAAAAGTCTTATTAACCAAAATAGGACTTGTCGAAATGTCGTTAATTAATGTTTTAACAAAATTTAGCGGCTTGCAACATTCTGAATCCGATTCCAACCCTGCCGGCAATTACTGAAAATTAACATTTTGTTTATCCTACCTTATATAATTTGGTCGCGTATCTTTGTGTGTGTGTGTGTGTGTGGATGTCACTTTCGAGGCCCGATTTTAGGGCCTTCCCGTGTCCAAAATGCCTTAATTCTCCGTCGCCCGGGGGAATCGACCCTCCTCTTTCCGATGGCGCTTTTAGACTCCCGATAAAATACAAGTTTACAAAGTTAAAGCCGGTTTCATTGATTTTTGGGGGCCCGGGAGGGCTGATTTGCATAATGTGAAAAAATACAAATTTCCTCATTCTTGCCAGTTGCACTCGCGAGTTTGGTCGTCTCTTTGGATCTGCCTCTCGATCCCTTTCCTGCCCCTACCCCGGGCAATCCCCTTGAGACATAAAAGGGGTCTTTGCCGCGTGCTGCCAAGCATCGCATGGTGTAGTGATTAGCGCTTCGCCCTGCTAATGCAACCATCGGAGGTTCGATCCTCGGATATCGTAGTTGTTTTGCTTTTTGCTCGGAAAGTGCGTTTCGGAGTAGATTTCCGTGTTGGGAGGTTATTATGAAGTTAGTCACTCCAGCCGCAGCCTATAGAATGAAGCTACCCGCTCAAGCATGCGCCGCAGGCCGAGGAATCAAGCTAACTGCTCAAGCTAGCGCCGCAGACTTTGGAACGACGCTAGCCGCTGAAAGTAGCGCCGCAGGCTAAAGGTTCAGGCCGGCCCCTCAACTAGCGTCGCAAGCTTCCGAAGGAAGTTAGCCGGGCAAGCTAGCGCCGCGGGCCCAAGGTCAGAGCTAGCCCTTCAAAATTGCGCCGCGGGATAAGGGGCTCAAGCTTGCGCCGCAGGCTTAAGTATGAAGCTAACCCCGCAAGCTAACGCCGCAGGCTTTAGAACGAAGCTAGCCGCACAAGCTCGCGCCGCAGGCCTTAGAACGAAACTAGCCGCTCAAGCCAGCGCCGCAGGCTTTAGAACGAAGCTAGCCGCTCAAGCTAGCGCCGCAGGCTTTAGAACGAAGCTAACCGCTCAAGCTAGCGCCGCAGACTTTAGAACGAAGCTAGCCGCTCAAGCTGGCGCCGCAGGCTTTAGCACCAAGCTAGCCGGTCAAGCTAGCGCCGCAGGCTTTAGAACGAAGCTAGCCGCTCAAGCTAGCGCCGCAGGCTTTAGAACGAAGCTAGCCGCTCAAGCTAGCGCCGCAGACTTTAGAACGAAGCTAGCCGCTCAAGCTGGCGCCGCAGGCTATAGCACCAAGCTAGCCGGTCAAGCTTAGCGCCGCAGGCTTTTAGAACGAAGCTAGCCGCTCAAGCTAGCGCCGCAGGCTTTAGAACGAAGCTAGCCGCTCAAGCTAGCGCCGCAGGCTTTAGAACGAAGCTAGCCGCTCAAGCTAGCGCCGCAGGCTTTAGAACGAAGCTAGCCGCTCAAGCTAGCGCCGCAGGCTTTAGAACCAAGCTAGCCGCTCAAGCTAGCGCCGCAGGCTTTAGAACCAAGCTAGCCGCTCAAGCTAGCGCCGCAGACTTTAGAACGAAGCTAGCCGCTCAAGCTGGCGCCGCAGGCTATAGCACCAAGCTAGCCGCTCAAGCTAGCGCCGCAGGCTTTAGAACGAAGCTAGCCGCTCAAGCTAGCGCCGCAGACTTTAGAACGAAGCTAGCCGCTCAAGCTGGCGCCGCAGGCTATAGCACCAAGCTAGCCGGTCAAGCTAGCGCCGCAGGCTTTAGAACGAAGCTAGCCGCTCAAGCTAGCGCCGCAGGCTTTAGAACGAAGCTAGCCGCTCAAGCTAGCGCCGCAGGCTTTAGAACCAAGCTAGCCGCTCAAGCTAGCGCCGCAGACTTTAGAACGAAGCTAGCCGCTCAAGCTGGCGCCGCAGGCTATAGCACCAAGCTAGCCGCTCAAGCTAGCGCCGCAGGCTTTAGAACGAAGCTAGCCGCTCAAGCTTAGCGCCGCAGGCTTTAGAACGAAGCTAACCGCCAGCTAGCGCCGCAGACTTTAGAACGAAGCTAGCCGCTCAAGCTGGCGCCGCAGGCTTTAGCACCAAGCTAGCCGGTCAAGCTAGCGCCGCAGGCTTTAGAACCAAGCTAGCCGCTCAAGCTAGCGCCGTAGGCTTTAGAACGAAGCTAGCCGCTCAAGCTAGCGCCGCAGGCTTTAGAACGAAGCTAACCGCTCAAGCTAGCGCCGCAGACTTTAGAACGAAGCTAGCCGCTCAAGCTGGCGCCGCAGGCTTTAGCACCAAGCTAGCCGGTCAAGCTAGCGCCGCAGGCTTTAGAACCAAGCTAGCCGCTCAAGCTAGCGCCGTAGGCTTTAGAACGAAGCTAGCCGCTCAAGCTAGCGCCGTAGGCTAATGAATAAAGCCAACCATTGAAGCTAGCGCCGCAGGCTAAAGAAGGGGGTTACCGCTCAAGCTTGCGACAGGCTTTATCTCGAAACAAACCTCTCGAGCCGGCGCCGCTGGATGAGGACCTGCGCTGCAGGCCTAATAACGACACTAGCAATTTAAGCTTGCGCCGCATGTCAATACAAAGAGGTTTGCATGGGAGATGTGTTTTTCTTTCTTCAGGGTAACATTATGTGTAAGGGCGCTCGATTCATAGGGCCTAGACGGGGGTCCAGCGGGGGAGAGTCGCGAAGCGGCTCCTCCCCCGCTGGTTATGCAATAAAAACGGACTCACAAAAATAATGACAATAGAAAAATTCAAATTCCCGAATTTGAAGCCTTGTTTTATCAACATTAGACGATTTGCAACATTCGCGGCAAAACCCATAAATGGACCTCATCCAGTCCACTCAGAAATTCCCTTTGCGTGACGTTGATAATGAGGGCCACCCTGCTCCTTATAAGAGGGCCCCAAAAAGGCTTCTTCACGGCCACCTGGGGCATATTATCTGTCTCTTTATGGGGTAGCGGCCGGCTCGAGAATCCGGGATGAGATGGACCACGGAGGGGTGGGTGGAGCTCCCGCAGCGATTGCAGCATATAAGTGCTCATAAACTGGGATTGATGGCCTGTTGATGGGTTGTGTCGAAGAGAAAAGGTTCATGGCTGGTGGATGAGGACCTAAATGAGTTTTGAAGGGATTAAGAAGGCAAAAAACACCCGAAGTGGTTGTGAACATCTCTTTCTCGGGATTCATAATAGAGAGCGAGAGAGAAAATGTGTGAGAGAGAGCGAGAGAGAGCGAGAAAGCGAAAGAGAGAAAGAGAGAAAATCAGAAAGAAAATAGATAAAGAAAGAGCGAGAGAGAGAAAGCGAGAGAGAGTGAGAGAGAGAAAGAGAGAGAGAGAGGGGAAGAGAAAGAGAGAGATGGTTTTTTGAGTAACTCAGCTCAACCATATCAATTTTCAAAAAGGTGGTTGGTCAAGAATTATGCCTACCAATTCCTATGAGGTAGACCATTGGTGCGCGCCTAGGTCACCGAGATAAACATACCCTCGGGTGTAAAATGTTGTAAAATGTAGCACGGCTCATTTGAAATGACGGGTCGGTCGGCACTACTTAAATCTTGTAAGTTGGCTCAAAAGTCATCACTTGAAAATGACGTTCATCTCCGAAGCTCTTACAACTTCCGGCTACCGTATTGATGTGCTACTGCTACTCGCCGCCCGATATCTATGGATATGCATACGCCCGATTCAAGAAGAGCGTCAGCCAACGCTGAATGGTAAGTCAATTTTCAAGAAGCTAGTGAGCCAGAGAGAGAGAGAGAGAGAGAAACACTCTAGGTAGTGGCTGTTCAAAATCGTTTTCTTTCCAGAATTCGCCGAGTTTCTCCTCCTCTGTTTGCTGCAGGTCTTCCTCGCTTACATCACGCTAAGTACTGAGAAGCCGAACTCCGATTTAAACACCGTATTACCTTAACCATATCATATTTTCTTACGAATCTTCGGAACCGTTTCCGATACCGGATTTTGGTAATTTGTTTGGTGGATGCAGAATAAACGATGATTGTGATGAGCTTAATGAAAGACATGATTCACAGCTAGAAAGTATTATTATATGCTTTTTTGATTTACAGAATCTACTGACTAAAAAATTGTATTTAATGATTTATGTGATTTTTAAGAAGCACTTTCCGTTAATTGCTCGCCACTCCCAAGCCGGTGTCAAAGCCATGGCCTCGGGTCATTTTCTGATCAATCGATCTGGCCCACGGCGCGCGCAAATCGGCAGGCCCCTGGTTGGCATGCGAGACGCTAATCGTCAGCAGGCCAAAGAGTGGATTTTTTTGGCTAGCTCAGCTGATTTCAGGATGCTTTTCCGACTTGATGTGATTGCTATTCTGGCCCTACGCTACTTATGGCTTTTCATACGTCCGGTGACCGAGCAGCGACGTCCTAATCGAGCCGGTGAGTATCATAAGATTTTATAGCAAGTGTAGTGGGTTAAGAAAAAATGTGTTATTTAATGCCAAAGCTACACAAGTTTCAAAGCCTTTTTTGGTCAATTTTCAGGCGATAAACGCTACAAAATTTTCAAAATAAAAATGAGTATCCTCTCTTAGTCTCTTACTTTCACAGACATCCAAAAACTTGGAAGTTCATGTATATACAAAAGACCTTTGCAAAAACTTGTGTTATAGAATTTAAAGTTATTGAATCGTGTTTTCCAGAAATTGCCGAATTCTGTCTGCTCGCCCTGATCCTGCTGTTCATCGCGGCTACGAACGTCATGATCGAAGTCCAAGAATTCCTGGATAACCATAAATCGATCAACAGCCTCTCCAGCATTTTACTCGGTTGATAAAAATTGATATATACTCGTTTCCAAGTAAAAATTTGCATTGAACTGGCCTTGTCTTCGCCGGGAACATAGAAACCGATTTGGCCCCCAGAAATTGCAAAAGAATAAAAATCTATGACCAAGTGTTTGTGTGATTGACCACCAAGGTGTGATTTCGCAACCCCAGAAACCTGCAAAATCTGCAGAAAGCTACTGAAAATCGAAGAAAATTAATTCAAAACCTGTTATTTTTCATTAATTCCTGCGTACTGTTTTCCTTCTTGAAAAGCTCAACCCTGACCCCCCGACCTTCAGTTTTCATGTTTTCTAGCAATGGTGACTTTTTTGCTCTGCGGATTCTTAGTCTTAGCGAACTGGTAATTCGGTTTTAAAAACCTTGATTTTTTTGTGATTAGCCTCCAGCCGCAACCCCGTCTCGGCAGCCGGGAGAATCCAATTGACCTCGACGGCACCCCGGATGATTCCCAACGGATTGGGGGCGGTGATTAGAGCCGGAAATCGGCTACAAACTTGCCGAATTTTAGACACAATCGACCGGAGCCGAAAACGAACTTGGGAGTCCGTTGTCCGCCCAGAGAGCGAATTCCGCTGGGACCAGCCGTTCAAACTTCTTACGGGTAATTGTTGCCCATCATTTCTCATAAAGTCATAAACCCACCAAAAACTGTCATCCCTCCTAACTAACAAAGTCAAAATTTGTAGTAACGTAATAGAAAATATTTCACTAGTATTTTTTTAGTAAAAAACCATAGGAGATTTTGGTCGAAGCAGAGCCATTTTTGGTGGTTGGGTCAATCAGAATCTATCAAATCGCAAATATCAAATTTTTTTGAAACAAAGACAAAGGTTTAAAGGATTTACGTTTAAAGGATTTACGTAAAAAAACGCAAAGCAAAATACAATGTGGTAACGCTTTCACTATTGTTATTAGAAGAGCGGTACCCTGGAAATACTAATCTAGAATCTGTTTTATGAAACCCCGGAAAAATCACTTCCAAAAACTTAAGTCACAGTCAAGACCTTTGCGTCATTTCGGTGTATAAAGGAGCTGGATGTGGGTTTGGGCTACTGGGCTGCACTTTTCAGATCAGCAGGCGCAGGCGGCGCAGGCGATGGCAAACGTGCGTGCAGCGCTGGGCATGTAAGTTAGCCTGTTCAGCCTGAAGCCTAATCATAGACCTAATCCTGAGCCGCAGCCTAGAAATAAGGAAGTCTAAGCCTAAAGATAAGTCGCAGCCTAGGGATATGGCTGAGCCTATCTAAACTCAAGCCTAGCCTAAGTTAAGCCTAAGCTAAGCCTAAGCTAAATCGAAGCTAAGCCTAACCTAGGCTTAAGCCTCAATCTAAGCCTAAGCTTAATCATCGAATATTCAGGTCACCGCTACCAGCAGCACCAGGCCGGGACTCGGTGATCGCGAAAGCGCCTCGACTAGACTTGCAAACAGGTCCTTGTTTCCCCGGCCTGAACTTAATTTTTGGGTTATCTCTCTCCCTCTCTCTCTCTCTCTCTCTCTCTCTCTCTCTCTTTCTTTCTTTCTCTCTCTTTCTTTCTCTTTCTCCCTCTCTCCCTCTCTCCCTCTTTCCCTCTCTCTCTCTTTCTTTCTCTCTCTCCCTCTCTCTCCCTCTTTCTCTTTCTCTCTCGCGCTCTCACTCTCTCGATGCGTTTCTCTTTCTCCGTTTTGTGCTAAGACAAAACCTAATCTCCAATAACACTTCAATAATAATCTCGTCCGGGCGCTACCAGCTTTTTTTGCAGATGGAAAAACAGCGGAGCAGGCGATGGCGGAAATTCGAGCCGCGGTGGCCTCCGTGTGAGTGCAAAATTAACAAAACTTTTCGGTTTTGCAAGGTCCGGAAGTGACCGTCGCCAAATCCTTAGCTTTTTTCCTTGAAATCAAAATTCAGTGGGACGCGAAAAACCCCGGAGCAGGCTCTTGCCGAGTTGAGGGCGATTGCCGACAGGTATGCAATCAAAATTTTGTATTTTGTATACTTTTGCCGTTTTTTCTTGACATAGACGTCACAAAACAAAAACGTTAATGTCAAGAGACAATTTCCTGCCTGAAAACTGTAAATTTTAAGGTATCCTGCGGCTCGGAATCCCGGTCAGCCGAATCAACCTGGCCCGTCGGGGCTGCAAAATCCCCCTGGTCCATCGGGACCGCACGCTCCACCTGGTAGAAGTTTGCATGGTTCTGAAAATCATTTTTTTAGTAGCTTCTGCTGTAAAAACGCCCCGAGACTGGATCGACCACTATTATGAGAAGTTTGAAGGTATCCCGAATAACTTAAAAAGCTCAGGATCGGCATCAACTTTAGGAGGTGCAAGAATGAACAAGGATGATTGGGCGCACTTGACGCGAGTGAGCGGCCACTCGCAAAAACAGGTACACAAGTAATAGCACGGAAGGCTACGGTCTACTTTACCCCCCAGCCAGAATGTTTTGGCTGTAACTTTTTAATTTTACACTATTGTAGGCTCGCATTAAAGTTATTAGTATATTTCTCGACGCTCTATTGAATGTGGCTGAGAAAATCCCAAAAAATTAGCGCAAGTATCGAAAACGTTGAGATCCTTCCGCTGTGGGGGAGGAGGGAGTGTAAAGGAAACTCTTACCGCACCAATATACTAAAATGCCGACAATAAATAACCGTTTGCCAAAATCCGGAGAGTCAAGGCCTCGACAGCCAAAATTTTAAACGCGAAATACCGACATGGCCCTGACACCATTTTGCGTTCCACTTCCCTTTCAACATCATCGTCGCTATGTCGGGGTTTTGGTTGTCAACATTTCGCCAATTTAGGAGCTTGGACTCTGGCTGTCCAGTTTATTAACTTTTGTATTCTGGTATTTCGACCAATATAAACTATTCTTTTTAACGTATAAATGTAAAATAAAGTAACACAAAGCTTTTATACACATCTCCATTTAGCTGGAATCCCAAATGGATCTGAGAAAGAAACTGAAGCGCCAGATGGACTATTGGCCAAGATCGAGTGGGTAACTGTCCAAAAACTACTTCCAAAAATTACTGTCCAAAAACGATGAAATTTAAGCATTTATGGCTTTTTATGGTAGTCTTTCAGGCCTGGAAAGAGAGAAGCTAATCGAGCATGTCTTTGGCAAATACCAGGGAATGGCGAACGTGCCTGCTGATGAGAAATCGTACCTCATGCGACAGACTGGCATGTCGCCGGCTGTGGTTGGTTAACAAAAATAGCAGCAAGCAAACAAGTAGGCTTAGGCTTAAGATAAGCATGAGCTACGCCTAAGCGAAGTCTAAGCCCAGCCTAAGCTAAGCCTAAGCTAAGCTACGCCTAAACATAAGCCAAGCCTAAGCTAAGCCTAAGCTAAGCCTAAGCTAAGCCTAAGCTAAGCCTAAGCTAAAGCTAAGCTAAGAACGCTTAAACATAAGCTAAGCTAAAGCTAAGCCTAAGCTAACCATAAGCTAGACATGCAGCTAGTGCCTCTGTGCCAGGAATTTCCAACCTCATTAACTATCGTTTCAGCTCCAAGAACGATTCCAACGGCTCGAACAGGTTGGTGCGGAGCAACCTACGGTCTCCGATACGATATTAGCCATGCGGGCCCGATTGGCAAATGTCCTTTAGGTTTCGGCCCAGAACAGGCTGCCCGGCCCCCAAGCCCCCAAGCGCCCAGGCCCAGGTTTGATTTGATTGTAGTTTTTCTAAAAAAAACCCTCCCTCGGAAAAGCCACGAAAATTCCATCGGTTTCCAAAAAATACGGTCAAATCTGACGGATAAAGAACAAAAAATGTAAACTTTCGACGTTCCTCGAGTCGGTCAGAAGGGCCTTTCAATCCAGCCAACTTTTAGTAGACTTTTTTCGCCCGCAGCTTTGGAAACCGTCATTTTTGGCTTTGATTTTGAACTCGTCGTCGGAGCTCTTAAAGGGAGACGACGGCATAAGTAATCGTGATGACGCGAGGTAAAGAAAATGTCTCTGCGTCTCGCTCCTCGGCGCGTTCTCTGCCCTGTTGGCTAGTTGCCAAATAGTCGACCAGGGGTGTTCGACCAATGCCGCCGGTATCCCTTTAAGGGTCTCGGAAACCTGGTCCACGTCACCCAACGTTGATTCCTGGTGAATAGCAGCAACAATGCCAGCACAACGCGACCGCGTCGCATGATCTTTTGCCTCTTTTTGGGGGCTTTTTGGATGCAGAAATCGTGACACTATTTTTGGAATTCTCATAGAGTTTTGGTCATTCTAGATGTTTTAATTATGAAAATTGATCAGATCTAGGGATCAAAATAGGCTCCTTACAAGGCATTACGACATGTAATCGCAAGTCGTTACAAAAACACTCAAAAAGTAGCTTTGGCTCGGAGAAAGATTCACCCAAATGTTTACGTTTTTCCGCAACGAAATCACTTTTCTGGTACTTCTCGGCAGTAGCCCTTTCGTTTTTGACCGATAGGCTCAATCCCCGCATGCACGAATTTTGTCTTCCGAGCCCCTTTCATACTCATTGCACAATTTTAGCCCTGCAGGGGCGCGTCGATCTTTTGCGGCCGTATTACGAGAAACACGGCAAAGAATGGTCGGAACACACAGAGAAGGAGAAGGCTGAATGGCAAAAGGGACCATACAAGGACATCAGCCCGCGCCAGGTACAATATCAAATTTTAATGGCTGGCAATTAAATTTGAGGGTTAACAGGTTCGACAAATTGCTTGCTTTGATATTGATGTTTTTGGTTTTTGCAGTAGCTATTTTATTTTACATCATATTAGACTAAAATTAAAAAGCTGAGCGTCTTTTTGAACGCTCGATCGAATGGCGATAAGCAAATTTTGTACAAATGCCGAAAATTTCGCACCTCATCTCACATAACGGCCATAGGTGAAAACCGCGAATAAAAACCTTGTTTTTTCTTGCCATAACTTTTTTATGACGCATTATTTTTGGCTGGCATAAAACTCTTAAAGGGTGTCCCAAAAACACCCCCTCTAACTTGACGCAGAAGTATCGGATCGGAATGGTAGTTACACCATTCGAAAGCCCTTGAAACGGCCAGTTCGCAGCAATTTTCAAAACGATTTTTTTTTATTCAAACGCGCCATTTTATAATGCATCTAAAACACTAAGGAACGGCCTCGGAAGCTAATTAACGACAACTTCTGGTCATATTTTATGAAGAAATTAAAGCAAATTAGTTCGTATACAGCCCCGAAAACCCGGAAAATTTTACAAAATGGCTTGTTCCGGTATAATGTCGCTTATAGGCGGCGGCGGCCCTAAAGGTTCTGAAAGAACAACACGACGCAATGCAATTAGGTATTCCCCAAGAGATCGATATATACGAAGCTTTGAAGCTGCGAGTTGTCAACCGGGCCCGTCGGGTCTTGGGAAACGGCGCAAGCGGTCGGCCGGCTGCCAGTTCGTCCGGAAGCTCAACACGCCCGATGATGCCAAGGTATGGTTTTTGTTATTTAACAATTTCAGGGCCGATACAGATTTTGTGATTTTTCTGTCATTTGTTCCTAAAAGTTATGCATGTTCATCTAATAAAGGGATGCGATTACGCGTTATAAACGGCCACAAAGCTTCCAAAAAGAGCGTAATGCGAAGATGCGTCGAAATAAAAAACTGGACACAGCTGAACGCATTTAACGACGCTTCAAAAGGTATCAGTTTCTCATGCATGCAAATCCCCTACGACTCTACGCTACGCTTCCCTAAACGGCCGATTCTGAAAAGAGAGAGAGACAGAGAGGGACAGAGAGAGAGAGAGAGGGAAGACAGAGATAGAGAGAGAGATAGAGAGAGCGCGAGACAGAAGGAGAGAAAGAGACAGAGAGCGAGATAGAGAGAGAGCGAGAGCGAGAGAGAGAGAGAAAGAGAGGAGAGAGAGAGAGAGAGAGAGAGAGAGAGAATGTGGGAGAGAGAGTGTGGAAGTTCTGGTTGAGAGTTGGCAGCCACCCAACGGATTCCGGAGCTTTCCGGAAGCAGCTCAGAATTAATGAAGTTGTCGGCCCCACCGATACAAGCTTTTGAGCTTTTGGAAAGTATTGCTGAATTCCGATGCGGCTCCTACTTTTGCTATTTCTCGACCTCAACTTGCTTTCTTGGTAACGGATGTTTTGCACGTGTAAGTGTGCACCCGATCAGCCACGTTCTTCAATGGAAGCAACGCATCCAAGCTATGCAAGCTGACCACGCAGGACCGGCCGCCCCGCAGGATCAACAAATTGGAGGAGGTCAACCAGTAGCTGTCAAGCTAGTTTTTTTCAGAGCCGGCGTCTGACCTTGACGACGACGTTGGTTCTGCAAGATACGGTATCGCGTATACGTGAATCCCTAGGTCTTAAGATTTCAGATACCCCAGACGACATGCCCGGGCCCTCCAATACGGGGAAGCTCACGAAGGAAGGCAAGTGGAAAACGGGACGCCCGCATAAAATTAAACTTCAGAAAAACAGAAGATAATCCACGAAAGGTTCAAACAGATGCAGGGGGACCTGGACAGCTTGTCGGAGAGCGAGTGGAAAGCGCTGCGGGCAGAGACTGGGATGAAAGTTAAGGATGTGAGTTGGCCTGCTTAAAAAAGTCGCGCTCCTAGTAGTAACTACCAAAAAAATTTCGAATTATTTTATTAATCAGGGTCATCTGAAGAAATGATACCCAGCCCAAATTTTCATCGCTAATTTAGATCCGAAATGAATGGGTTCGACAACAAAAGAATCATCCTGAAATCTGGAAAGCTGAGCATGGCACTCCTTTGGCCCGTAAATTTATGCATACGAATCTCACCTTATCTTCCAGGACAGCAAGAAAGAAATTTCCTGACGCAGCTGAGAGAGCGCCTGGCCGGCCAAGGTGGCCGGTATATACCGGAAGAGGCTTTCATAGCACTGAAAACGGTCAATAATTGGGATCCGGAAAGGGTGGGTCCGGCAAGAAACTAAAGACGTTTTCCAAGGTGCGGCACGAGTGGCAAATGGCCGCCGACCGGGACTACAACGAGAAGCGGAAGGAGGCTAGGGCGAAAAAGCGGCAAGAGGCAAAGCAGGCTGCCATGCCTCCTGGTGTTCAGGCGCCGCCGAAAAGTGGGTCAAAATGTCGATATTTCGGATTCAAATGTAAATGTCGGAGTTCTGTAATCATCAAACTTTTTAGGAGAAACCCAGCCACACTTCGATGCCGCACGGCAGACACAGCTGGGCGAGCTGCATGACAAAACGCGTCTGATGAGCGCTCTGACACCGGAAGACAGGAGGAGGATGGAAGCGCAGACGGGGCTTAAATGGAAACAAGCATGTTTTGAGATTGTTTAGACGCTCCAGACGCCAGTTGTGGACGTAGCTCTTTTGTAGTAGTTTGTATCTAAGAAAGTGCTCAGAAAATACGATACAGTCGATTCTAGATCAGCCAACACTTTGCCATCCTTGACAAGAAGCATCCGCTCGGTAAGGTAGTTATCCTTTGCCTCTCTCTCTGTCCTCGCTCTCTTGCCCTATCTGTCTCTCTCTCTCTCTCTCTCTCTCTCTCTCTTTCTCCATCTTCTTCGCCCTCTTAAAGAATAAAGCTTCAACTTTTTGTTCAGATCCCATCGTGATCGACCGCCCTTGGAAGTCCACAGACACGTTCCGAAGTCTTTTTTTCGGCTTGCCAAAAAGCCAGATTTTCACTTGTTTTGCACCTTGCAAAAGCTTAGTTATTTTCCAGAATTGGCTTATGATCACGTGAGCCCGCAAGTTAGGGAGGAGATCCGGGTGGCGATGAAGAAGCCGGGCGGCTGGAAGGTGGCTGATCTGGAGAAAGAAGCCGGTCGATGGGGGCTCAACGCGCAGCAGGTAGTGGTTTGTCGAGCTCAAACGGTCCACGAAGTATTTTCCACCCACTAGGCACTCGAAAGCTACGCGCCACTGAAAATCTACATATTTCTAAATCTAATTTGAATTGAAAAACTTGAACCGCGCTGCCTAGATTTCGAGACCTAGTTGAGCGTGCCTTTTAAAGGGCTGCCGACGGCATGTGTTGATCCCCCCCCCCCCCCCCCCCCCATCAACAAATTGGCAAGTAGCCAACAGGCCAGAGAGCGCGCCCTGGGGAGAGGCGCAGAGACAATTTCTTTCCAGCGCGTAACCGATTGACTATGCCGTCGGCATCCCTTTAAGGTGTGCCTTTTTTCAGATGGACGCAATCTACAATGAAGATATCTCATGGGAAATTGGTAAACTGGC